GATAGAATCGAATGGAAAAATCATTTCTTATTTTCAATTCACTATTCCCAGCTAGACTACCTAGACGTGGAATACCCAAGCCATTTATTACGCCCATCTACTATCTATGCACCTTATACATTCTTCGACCAAAATAGCAGCACTTTAAAATTTATAGTGTTTCTTCTAGCAGCACTATATACTCTTTTCAATGTACGAATGAAATGTATTTATTTTTTATTTTGGCTCCATTTTGATGCAAATATTATCTTGAAATAAAAAAAGGGACACCATTTTAGTTTGACTTTTCAGGACTAGCCAGCACAAAGTCGTAAGTCTACACCTGATGTGGATTCCATGGTTTTATCACTAAATTTCAATTATTTTGCTAAATTAGACTTATTCCGTTCCAGTTGATGGTTCGGTACGAACTGTTATGTTGCTAAATAATGTGCCTAAACAATTATAAACTCTTATTTGCTTAAATTAATTTAGGAAATTATAATAAGCCCACAAACAGGAGTGGGACAGAAATTTTGAAATGAGGCCCGTTATACCATGTCACATTAGTTAGCGACCTCCATGCCTTCGGCCACTAGCCATCTTCATTGCCTCTTATGCTATCTCATCTTCTTTCTTTGCCCCCATTTTGTTCGTCAAACTGATTTTCGTTTCGTTTAGCTGCCATCATCAGCAAGCATCCCTCGTCAATGGACCAGAAAGATGGTCAGATACGCATATAGGCTAACAGACTGACATGTATTGGTAGTTCAGGGCCAGACAAGACAACACAAGGGCCCTCGTTTCATGCTAGTTTATGCGGCTTTTAGCACGACAGCTTTCATCGTCTCTACTCTGCCTATTCCGTCGGCCAGAGTAATAGTATGAGGTCGTTTGTTGCTAGGCTAAAGGTCGAGGTTGATGGTCCACATTTGGGGTGAAGAGAATACAAGTCCTGTTATTTCCGTTGTCATTACCTACTGGAATCCCTATAATGGTCGTGCGTACTATGATGATGATGCCTGAGGAGGAACAGATACGGATTACTGTCATAAAGATGGTTCACTGTTGAAGTTGGGGTGGAATGGGTTATACGAATTAAGTGCGGTGGCCCTTCATCTAGCAAAATAGCCAAGCTGAGAGGAGCGGTTAATTTTTTGCCGTTTGGCCTTTGAGATCAAAACATACAAGGACAGATATGCCGAATTCCCGCTAGACTTGGTGTTCGTGTTTAGTTGTTCTCGCGTGAGAACCTTTTCTCGGCATTTATGCCTCAAATCTTATAGGGGTCCAATCGAAAAACGAATGTGATGGTGGCGTTCATAGCTTGAGTAAGGACCGTTGACGGTTGGGCTTGTTGAACAACC